TTTTAAAAAAAAAAAAAAAAAAAAAAAAAAAAAAAAAAAAAAAAAAAAAAAAAAAAAAAGACAAAAAGGAAAAAAAAAAAAAAGATAATTTGACAATTACATGCTACCCTTTGACCTGGAAATTCCACTTCAATAATTTATTCTAAGAAACTAGTTGGAAAGGTAAGTAAATCTATATGTAATAGTACTTAGCATATAAGTGGCAAGACTGTAAATTCTATCACTAGGTAACTGAATAGGACTAGTGTTATCACCCCCCAAACCAACACTAAAACAAATGTGTGGTACATGGGGAAGTAAAGGAAATCTTGAAAGGATTTTAATAGTTCACAGCTTTGGCAGATCCCAGGAGGTTGTATTAACTCTGCCTTCATCTGTTCAAGCAGTGTTTCTCAAAATGTGGTTCCCAGATCACATGCATAACGATCATCAAGGATGACCGTTAAAGATATAAAAAAAAAAAAGAAAGCCTCGATCTATTACAATTCTTCTCATCTGAGCTTTGAGATGTCAAAGATACTCCATTAAATTCTAATAAAGGTAGAGATGTAGGCAAAGATACTTTAAAACTTATGGGACCAGATTTCTAGGTTGAAATGTTCAATCTATGCCAAATGGATAGATATTTGATCTAAATATTTTAAGTGTAATGAATATGAGTGTATTCAATAGTTAAATGTTTTAGTAAGTCAAATAGGTGGTTACATTGTGCAAAATCTACATGCTTTAACTATGCAGGATCTAAAAAGGAGTGAAGAAATAGGGCCAGTATTCGGGGTATCAGTTATCACTAGGTTTCTGTACTAAGAAACACCTATCTTTTTAAGTTTTCTTTTCTTTAAAAAGAAATAGCAACTACCATATCTTACTCTTACGAGCTTTCCTAAAAAACCTTGACGGGCCAGCCCCGTGGCTCACTCAGGAGAGTGTGGCGCTGGTAGCGCCGAGGTCGTGAGTTCGGATCCTATATAGGGATGGCTGGTGCGCTCACTGGCTGAGCATGGTGCGGGCAACACCAGGCCAAGGGTTGTGCTCTCCTTACCAGTCAAAAACAAACAAACAAACAAACAAAACCTTGAGAGCCATCTATTTACTCAGAGAGATTGGGCAGAAAATGCTACTGGGGAAAAAAAGCATAATTATGACAATGACATTTGGGCACTGAGTATAATCAGTTGATTAAGAGCATAATGAGTTAAGAAGAAATAGCCAAAAATTCTCAAAATTTTTCTTTTTATTACCAACTCCTACATCTAACACCTGCTATGTGAAAATTTTTAAAGGTGAAATTTAAAAAACTAATTTCACAGAAGCATTTAATACCTTGAAGCAGTTGCTGCACATTTTCATTTCCCATCTGTAAGGCAGTAAAGCCCTGAAGGGATATAATGTTAGGATCGCACCCATAGCTCAGGAGTAGGCGGCAGGTTTGTAGATGACCACAATGTGCAGCTCTGTGCAGAGAAGTCTGACCAAGATTATCCAGAGCATTAACCTTAACAATGCAGAAAAAGTTGAAATTAGCCTGCAGTGCAAAATCTAAAGCTATCCAATCATGTATTTAACACTTGCTACTAATTTAAAAGTTTCAATTATTCTTTTATGAAGCCTATCATCCCGTGCCAAAGTAAGTACTTTTGCTCAAATCTAGAGCATAACTTCACCAATTCATGATGGTTGGTATCAGAAGAAAGACCCAATTTTGGGTTATAAATGTGAGATACTGAATAACAGCTTTGTTTAGCATTAAAGCATTCACAGAATCAATGTATTTAGAGCTACACATTGCCTAAGAAAGTTGAATCCATGTATGAATCTCTGAGGTCTAGAAATGTGGAGAATAACCCTCAGACAGACAACAGTTAGTAACAAAGTTGGAGTTAAATTAGGATTAAAACTTTTTTTTATTGGCTTAACATTCTACCTTATTTATTATGTAAAATACAATCTGTATAGATAAACATACTATGGTTTATTCACACAATGGAATACTACTCAGCAATAAATGATTGACATGGATGAATCTCCAAAATGTGGAAAAAGCCTTATGTCAAGGAGTACATACTGTATGATTCCATATACATGAAGGCCTAGAACACACAAATCTAATCTATGTTGAAAAAAATTAAAATGATGCTACCTCTAGAGGCAGAGATTGCCTGGGATGGGACAGGTATCTCTGCAATGAGATAATGTTCTATATCTTGATAGTTCTGGTTATACAGGTGTACGCATTAGTCAAAATTCAGCAAATGTACATTTAAGATTTGTGCATTTCACTGCATGTAAATTTTACATCTAAAAAAAACCTGTAAACAAATACCAAAATCTAGTTGACGTGCATGTGGAAGTATTTAGGGAAAAGTATACAGTAATCTGCAAATTACTTTGAAATGTGTCAAAAATAAGATATATTAATGGATGGAGGGAGAAATTGATGGATATTTAATAAAACAATATAGTAAAATGTCAGTGAAAGAATCTAGGTGGTGGGTATACAGTTACTCTTTCAAATTCCTTCAACTTGATTGTGGCTTTGACAATAAAAAAAATCACCTGTAAGACTCTCCCTATCTTACTCTCTCCCCTACCTCCTCAACACAGAAATAATTCTTCAAAACATAACTGGGAAATTAAATTCCTCAGTAGTAGATACTGTAGCTGCCAGAGTGTTTTGAGACATTGGCCAATTCATATTCATGGAATCAGAGAATATGTGAACAGGAATATAGCATAACCTTCTCAATGAAACTAAGATTAGACTATGAACAGCTTGTCTTTATGCTTACAGAACCTGAAAAAATCAATTTAAAATGTTCAAGACAATTAATCTATTTATTCACATATCCAAACTCACTGAAATGTAAAAAACACCCACTTGAAATTTTATTTGGGTGCCACTGTTTGTTAAGGTTACAATGACCAAACCTGTCCTGATTTGCCCAGGACTTCCCTGGTTTTAACACAGATAAGCTGTGTTCCCAGAAATCCCCAAGACCTGCACAAAACTGGAGGTTTGGTCACCCTAGTCAAATGGTTTCATTAAATTTCACAACTCCAATTTAATACACATCCAAATATTCTTCAAATAATGTACCACATGTATGAAAAAGCAATTAACGAAAAGTTATAGAAGAGAGAGACAAATGAGATATGCCAAGCAGTCAAACGGAAATAAACTTTATTTTATTCAATAAATTACAATAGGAAAGATCAAGATTATACATTATCAAGAAATCCCCCAAATCAAAGAGAAATTAGGACACCAAGAGGCAACATGAAAAGAAATTGCAGAATTCTAAGTGGTTCCTTGAGTGAGTGCAAGTCCAAGAAAGGACAGATAAGAAAACTATTTCTGCAAAGTCAATTAGGGAAGGGCCTCAGGGCCCACCCAAGGGAAACAGGGTCTCTATTCCTATCTTCTCCCTTTATGCAGAGCAGTTCCATTCTTTCTTTGATATATACTGAATTTCTACCAAAGATTTTGTTTGAAGAAGGTAAGAATCTGTGGCTAAAAACTGTGAAAACTGCTGAATTAAGTGACTCATCTCTTCCAGCCTGGGATGCTATGTATATCTTTACCAAGTAGTATTTTTAAAAGTACCTGGGTAAGAAATGATAATTTCTAGCCATGATGAAAGCATAAGTATTCTAAGAATAAAATGCTTTGTATACAAATGCTGACTAAAGAACAGTAACTTATCAACATGGGTAGCTATAATGTTTTTAGTCAAATTATTTAAATAATTTATCTCCCTCTGTCATCTCTGGCTTAGTTACAGAAATAACAAGAGGGTAAGAAAGACTGTGGCTGGGGTAAGAAACAAGAGTTACCCTGCAACCAAGGAACAGAAGATATGGGTGAGAAAAGATGACTAGAAAAGATGGCACGTCAGAATCAGTATATCTTTAGTTAAGGATGTTCTGAAGTATTTATGTTAGAGAAAGTCCTTAAGGATAACTTTGACCAGTGGGGTGTCATTAAAAGGAATGAAGAAGGAAAGACATATAAGAATAACATACATTTGAATAAATCCACAGACTTTCCAGCAAAAAATTAGATACAAAAAAAGTTGTTTGCAGAACTATTTTTAAATACAGATTAAGCGAAAAAACAGGTAATACTTATGAGAGATTCAACAGCTTAGGAACTCAGGCATTTTATCTGCTAAATAAAAATAACTCATTGGATTACTAAGGATTACCAAAAAGGAAGTATACCTTTGCTTCATGTTTTACCACTACTTCGACAACATCATTATGAGCTTTCTCAGATGCCACGTGCAGAGGAGTCAAGAATCTTAAAGAGAAAAAGTCAGCCAGACAATGAATATATTTTCCAAAAAAAAAGAGTCAATAATATTTAATTATTAAAAAGTATACTTACTCTTTAGTCTTTTCATTGATGTTTGCTCCTTTTCTTAGTAACAGTTCACATATTTGTTTTCTTTTGGGATATGGAGATGCAGCTGCACAATGCTAAATAATTTAAATTGCAGCATTAATCAAGGACTACACATAACTGATTTTTTATTTAAGAACATTTGTGTTTCCAATCAAGAAGTTTTTTAACTTCTTTGTTTTATTTTTGACCTACCTTTGCTCTTGAAAGACTTTCTATTGGAGAGAATGCTCAACAAACACCAAATTCTGATAGGGTCTGAAAATCCTACCTATGAAATAATATCTCTTATTAAAGATTCTGATAAAACTTTATAGTTCTCCTACATCTTTGAAAAAGCCACTACTGATGTGATGAAAAACTTAATGTGACCAACATGCTTTCAAAAAATATGGTGCTTCTGATATGTTTAAAGGTTAAGAAAACACCCCAAAGGTTGGGGTTTCTTTACATGAAGAAATAACAGAATACTCATCAGCTCTGGATTCTGCTTGGTGGCAGATGGAATAGCACCGGATGGAATAGCTGATAAACTGAGCAGTATTTATCTCTCTCAACTAGTTGCTCCAGTAGAATAAGGAGCTTGGATGACCTGTTTGGCAAAATCAGTGGTAGAAAAAGATACACTCTGAAGTTCAAAGCTGCAGTATCTATTATCTATGATGTATCAAGGAAGAAAAGAGACAGGAGGTGGAGATTTGCCAGTTATAAACCTAATACTTATTATCTTATGGTCATGGTGCACATCTTTGTGTCCTCAACATCTATGACAATACTCATGCACAACAGGTGTTCAATAGTGTCTGAATGATGAGTAACCATATCAATGTATGTACATTAAATTAAAACTGAAAATTCATGGAATAAAAGTTCTGGATAATTTTAAAGCAAAGCTGCTCTATACATCTAAATACCCAGCACACATAAAATTTGTTCTCTGATTTTAACGTGCTGTTACTCATAAAGACCATCTGATCCTCATGACTTTGCTGCAGATTCATTCTTTGATGTTGCTGTTACCAAAATTATTCCTTTACCCTCAATACAACCAATTCTAACTGGTAAACAGAGCTCCTTTGGTATGTTAAGGGTAATCATCCCAGGACATATATCAGGAAAGCACAGAGAATGGAAAATAGTTTTCCAAGAATTCTCAATCATATCTACCTGAAACTGCACCCCTACTCCTCTGCATCATCCTAGCACAGGGCTTGAAATCACCGGAAAAGTGACAGAAACTGATCCTGCACTGTAACTACCCACCAATACTTAACTGCTAGTATGTTTTAAGGTTAGTAACAAAAACAAGTTGTTTAACAGCAGGATATATGGGAGAAAACAACATGTAGTATTAGCTTTTCAGACCAGAAAATTTTCCATGATGTCCGTCTTTCCAAGTTTCTCTGTACCATTTTAACGCATAGTTTTAATTTTGCACTAGCATTTCTTATTAGTCTGCAGCTTTGCTGTTTTTTTTTTTTTTTTTTAACTTGGATATCTTTTTACAAGTTAAGTAGCAAAAAGGTCCAAAATGTTTTACAGGTAGATTTTTACATAAATTTCATACAATTTACATTATGGCATAAGGAAGAAAATTTACCATAAAAGATATTAAGTAAGGCTACCATCAGTTGAATTTGCCCTGAAACACATCAATTTACTTATCTTCTCCTACCCAAAGCACACTCTGCAATTCATACCATAGAACTTTTTTCCTTTCAAATTTCTACCGTTAGTGGTAGCCCCTGATCATACACCATTCTCTCTCCTATTTTCTACCACTTACCCCTAGTAACTCCCATTTTCCTTAGACTTCCCTGCATCTACTTTGTTATAGCCCCAGAGTTATTGTCACCTCTATCAGGGAAGTAGCTTGTAGATACTTTATTCACTTTAAATACTTTATTCAATTTAGATCTAATTTTGAAAAAACTGCAATACTGGAAGGAAATACACCAAGTGGTTTTTATCTGGATGGTGGTATTATTTTTTCATTATTTTCAGTGGGTTCCAAATTTTCTACTAGAAGTGTTCATGGACTTTGGACTTAGCCTCACAAGCTGTAAGCAATAAATGCCGTTTTTCTTTATAAATACCCAGTTCTGTGTATTTTGTTCTAAGCAACACAAACAGACTAACACAGTTTCTAAACAGCATCCACTCTCCAAGGGCTTTTTGGACAAATGGCTGATTACAGGGCTAGGGCAGGAAAAGTTGAAGATGAACCTGGAATAGTCTTATTGTGCCAGAAGATAAGGAAATGTTCAATGAATAATACATTAAAGGATATAAGAGCCAACTTGAAGGAGTCCCCACTTGTGAAACAGGTGACATTTTGAGCATCAAAATAAAGATGGCAAAAGGTTATAATCCACTGAATAAAATAGGAATCTACGGCTCTATACTGACATATATAATTAAACAATAAATGGGGAAATAGAGCTGGTAGGTTCAGGTGGGTGTCATCAACGATGGCAAGTGGACATCTAATAAGAAATGAGTGTTTTTTTTCAAAAACTTCCCCTTTAAATACTACTCAATTAAAGGGAAAACTAATGAACTTAAGGTGGAAAGCCCATAGAAACCAACTCGACCAGGCAATCTAGGTTAACATCATCAGCGAGGGGGCAAATCAACATTGTGCACCTCCTTTTGTGATGCGCAGAAAAGAGAACAGCATCATTCCTGCCAAGAATGCATGGCCAGAGTTTGCTCATGAGGAAACACTGAGTGGGTCTGGATTGAAGATCATTCTGCAGAATGAAAAACCTGTACTCCTTAAAAGTGTAAAGGGCATGAAATGTGGGAAAAGACTGAGGGACAGTTCTAGACTGGAGGAGCCAGAAAAATCACAATATCTAAATGGAAAACATATCCCTGCACCAGAAAAACAAGAGACATTATTGTGAAGCTGGCAAAATTCAAAAAGGATTTGTGCATTGGATCTGTGTTGTGCCAATTGGAAGGACTGGGTGTTGATTTTGTAGGAGAATGTCCTTGTTTTTTGGAAACATACACTGGAGTGTTTAGGGATGATGGAACATTATGGGTACAGTTTGTTCTCAGAAATGATCAGAACAAGACTGACGATAATGGGACACATATAGAGAGTATGAGTGATGGAGTGAATGTAAAATGTTAACAACTAGGGAATCCAAGAGAAGGAGATTCAGGACATTTTTGTATGGTTCTGTCAACTTTTCCTTAAATTTGCAATTATCTTTTTAAGAAGTTATTTTTAGAAAGTTTAATCAAACAGACAAATAGGGAAAACCGGAAGTAGTTTTTACATCATATTAAAAAATGATAAAATAAATAACAATATTTTCTTCTACTTATTAAGTACCAAGCACTGTATGTACTTTATCTATTATCCTTAGAGGAGCTATCTGGAGAGATATTATTGTCTCGTCTTTTAAAAGGAGGTAACAGAGGCTGAGATTAAGCTACTTGCCTAACATCACTCTGCTAGTTACGAGCAGAGACCAGAGTCAAACCTGGGCAATCTGATCCCATAGCCCCCACTTTAAGCTACCAGACAATGCTGCCTCTATGTGGAATGATCAAATAGGGCACTACATTATTACTATTTTCTTTTTAAAGATGACCAGTAAGGGGATCTTAACCCTTGACTTGGTGTTGTCAGCACCATGCTCTCCCAAGTGAGCTAACCGGCCATCCCTATATGGGATCCGAACCTGTGGCCTTGGTGTTATCAGCACCACACTCTCCCGAGTGAGCCACGGGCCAGCCCGTATCTGGTTATTTTTCACTATATCTACTTCGGCAATAGACAGAAAACCACTGAGGTTGGCCCAGGTACCAAAGAAAATTAGATGTTAAGATATGGGGATGTATTTACAAGACAGCAATCTTACAAGTAACATTTTATCTCCATAGCAAATTAACTAGAAGGTCATATCAAAGATTGGAACAAAACTCTAATGCAGGGCTGGTTGGTTAGCTCAGTGGGCTAGTGAGTGGTGCTGATAACACCAAGGTCCAGGGTTTGATCCCTATAACAGACAAAACAAACAAACAAACAAACAACAAAAAAACACAAACAAAACCAACAACCCCCCCACAATGCTTTTGTTTCAAAAGCACACCCTCTATAAATCTAATACATATAAAAAGCATATAACTTGACTTGAAAAAACTAATAAAAATATATTTTCATTTTAGAGCACCTAGAGTAAGCAGAAACTTCCTAATGATCAAATATGCTAGCCTAAACAACAATAGATACCCATGGCTAAGGAAACTGCTCTATATTACATTATTACATTATTCTATTTAAACATTTCTAAAAACAGGAGAGAAAAAATGCTCAGTTTATTGATACAGTATCCTAGCTGAACATTCATAATTTGATACTCACATGCTAATCTTTCTTTTAACTGTGGTGTGGGAGCCAAGTCTATAGCACTTTTACTGTGGCAGTTTAGCAGTGTTGGATCTGCACCATAACTTAAGAGAAGAGAACAAACTTCAACTCTGTTCTTAGAAGCTGCCTCATGAAGAGGAGTGAATTGCCACAAGTCCATTGCATTTACACAGGCACCATGCTGGGGAAGAAAAGGCATATATTTAACATTCAATTTTTAAGAGCATTTAGAATTATTAGCACTGTGTAATTTAACATCATGCAAACTTAAACAGGTTATGTTCCCAAAGTTCATTTTTTAAGCCAATTATTTTAGAAAGAATACACTTTTCCCAATGGAAAACTGATAGGCCTGCCCATAAGGGCCTATTTAACTCTTTTTATTAAGAACAGTTAAGAATGAAACTTTAGATTTAACCTGCCATCTTTTCCAAGAACTAATATTTTCCATTTTTGAGGTATAACTTACATATAGTGAAATGCACAATTCTTAAGTGTATAGCTTGATAAGTTTTGAAAAATGTATACATCCATGATACCATCACCCAAATCAAGATATTGGACAATTTCATTACTCCAGAATGTTTCCTCATGCTCCTTTTACAGATAATTCCTGCCCTCATTCTGACTTTTAGCACCATATATTAGATTTATCTGTTCTTGAATTTCATAAAAATGAAAGAATACAGTATGTACTTTTGTGTCTAGCTTCTTTTGCACATGTTTCTGAGAGTTGTTCATGGTGCTATATTGGAAGTTTGTTTTCATTGCTGAGGAACAATTTGTTGTACAGACATATTACAATGTACTTATCTACCATCCTGTTAAGAACCTTTAGACTATTTCCAGGTTTTGACTATTATGAATAAGTTGTTATGAATATTCCTATGTAAGTCTCTCTATGAACACATGCTGTCATGGTGAAAATTCATGGAATAAAAGTTCTGGATAATTTTAAAGCAAAGCTGCACTATACATCTAAATACCCAGCACACATAAAATTTGTTCTCTGATTTTAACGTGCTGTTACTCATAAAGACCATCTGATCCTCATGACTTTGCTGCATATATCAGGAAAGCACAGAGAATGGAAAATAGTTTATTTCCAAGAATTCTCAATCATATCTACCTGAAAATGCACCCCTACTCCTCTGCATCATCCTAGCACAGGGCTTGAAATCACCGGAAAAGTGACAGAAACTGATCCTGCACTGTAACTACCCACCAATACTTAACTGCTAGTATGTTTTAAGGTTAGTAACAAAAACAAGTTGTTTAACAGCAGGATATATGGGAGAAAACAACATGTAGTATTAGCTTTTCAGACCAGAAAATTTTCCATGATGTCCGTCTTTCCAAGTTTCTCTGTACCATTTTAACGCATAGTTTTAATTTTGCACTAGCATTTCTTATTAGTCTGCAGCTTTGCTGTTTTTTTTTTTTTTTTTTAACTTGGATATCTTTTTACAAGTTAAGTAGCAAAAAGGTCCAAAATGTTTTACAGGTAGATTTTTACATAAATTTCATACAATTTACATTATGGCATAAGGAAGAAAATTTACCATAAAAGATATTAAGTAAGGCTACCATCAGTTGAATTTGCCCTGAAACACATCAATTTACTTATCTTCTCCTACCCAAAGCACACTCTGCAATTCATACCATAGAACTTTTTTCCTTTCAAATTTCTACCGTTAGTGGTAGCCCCTGATCATACACCATTCTCTCTCCTATTTTCTACCACTTACCCCTAGTAACTCCCATTTTCCTTAGACTTCCCTGCATCTACTTTGTTATAGCCCCAGAGTTATTGTCACCTCTATCAGGGAAGTAGCTTGTAGAGACTTTATTCACTTTAAATACTTTATTCAATTTAGATCTAATTTTGAAAAAACCGCAATACTGGAAGGAAATACACCAAGTGGTTTTTATCTGGATGGTGGTATTATTTTTTCAGTGGGTTCCAAATTTTCTACTAGAAGTGTTTATAACTTTTATAACCCTACAAAAGGCAAATGATATGCACCATCGATGACAATTAAAAAGTTACATATAATACATGCCAGTATATGAATAAAATTTTTTTCTGGAACGATTCTCAAACTAATAATAGTATTGCCTTTTGGGCAGTGATGTTCTCAAACTAATAATAGTATTCCCTTTTGGGGAGTCAATTTTTCTGTACTGTTTGAACTTTTTTCTTTATGTGTATGTTTAACTTTATTAGAAACTGCCAAACAATTTTCTAAAGTATCTGTACCATTTTACATTGCTACCAGCAATGTTTGAGTTCCATTGGCTCCACATCCTTGCTTTCACCTTGTATTGTCAGACTTTTAAGTTTTAGCCATTTGCAAGTAGTGGAGTTGGATGGACCACAGGAGTCATACTAGTTCTGCCTCCTATCAAACAAAGAATCTCTTCCACAGCACTCCTGTCAGAAGGTGAACCAGCTACTTACTCCTTTAGTAGTTTCAACTATGAGAAGCTAATGCTCAACTAACATGGCTATTTATAATAATTGCTAGATAACTCCTGTTGTTAGGAAGTTCTTTTCTACATTAGTATGCACTTTTAACTTTGATCCATTTGTCTTTGCAACAAAAGAGATCAATACTCTTCTTTGCAATGTTTTAAGGCAACTCTTATGTTTTTATTTTCCAGTCTAAACACCTAAACGAGTTCCTTCACTCATCCTTCATATCAGATCGTTTCCAGATTTCTTATCATCTTGGTGGACCTCAACTAAATGTACTTTAGTTTAAAAAATTCATTTAAAAAAATATCAAAAGCCTAAGACAATAATAGATTCCCAACATGATTTGCCTGTGCAGAGTACAGTACATTCACTAGTACATTTGCTCTTGACATACTTCTATTATGCACATAAAATCATGATAGCTTTTTAAGTAGACACATCACATTTTACACTTATACTGAATTAGTGGGTAATTAAAAACCTTTAGAATTTTATTAAAACGTGAAGTAAACACCAAAGTATGTCCTCTTCTCACACCTTGTTTTTGTGCAACTTATTTTTGTGAACTTAATTTTCCTAATTGATCCCTGTTAAATGTCATTTTACTGGCTTCAACCCAAGCTTAGAGCCTATGAGGATGGTTTTGAGCCTTGATTATATCAACTTGAATATGTTATCCTTCCTAGCTTCATATTAATCTGCAAATTTTATAAGCATCCCTTCTAATTCTTTATCAAGTCAACAATAAAAATGTGGACCACAATAATGGCAAAGATAGACCCTGTGGTAGTCCTTTAGAGATTCCAACATTCCCTTCCAAGCAAAGAAGTTATCAGTCAACACTTTCTGCACAGTTGTTTAATTAATTATGAATCTAACAGAAAGAATTTTCCTCTTAATTCTAGCTAGATCCATCTATTTTGTTACCTTGTACTTAGCAGCTATGAGGAAAAAGAAAATTAAGAGAATCCCTTGTTATTCTTGTACCTGCTAGTGCCACACCTTAATTACTTGAAGGCTTTGCCCAGGGATCATGTCTTAGTGCCTTCCATGCCTATCAGTGCCCCGGTCATGGAAAGCAATCACTGAATGTTTGCTGTTAAATACCAACTTCCAGGCTGGGTGGTTAGCTCAGCTGGTTAGAGCACAGCTTGTAACATCAAGGTCAAGGGTTTGGAACCCTGCACCAGCTAGCCACTGGGGGAAAAAAAAATGCCAGCTTCTGCTAGCCAGACTCTTCAGCAAGAGCTGACAATTGACCGAGAGTTGCCCAGGACCTCTGCCTATATTCCAAATCCCTATCTAATTGCTTTCTCCTGACTTTCCTGAACTTTACTACTCTGGTAACTGCCTCCACACTCAACTCAGCTAACCTCCTCTCTAAGTTTGACCTAGTCAGGCTTCCATTCTTTTTTAGTAAAACAAGAGATCTTAGTAAAAATACCACTCAGTTGTCTGTAAGTCCCAGTGCACTCTGTCTGATGCTCACTCTTACTCATGGTAACATTCCAAATGTTTTGTTGAACTCAAGATTCAGTTTTACAAGAAGCAAAAGCACTGCTGCTACAAATGTACAATATTACAACCACGTTATAAACTGTAAAAGGCTTATATGCTACACAGCCTGTCTAATCATTATCACAAGGTTCTTTCTGTAGGAAAATGTATTCCAAAGGTGGCACGTGCCCAAAAGGAAGCATAGAGGCATTGGACACAAGCTTCCCGTTTCTCTTCCCATAACAGCTGCTGAGAGAGTGAGGAAAAGTAATGAACAGGTAGACTGGGTGCAGGGTAAGAGAAGTCTCAAGAATGTGGGCAAATCCATATGTAGAGACCGGGGGACAGAAGGAAACAAGCATTGGTAATACCCTTGGATCCATTCTCAAGGATAATATATATCTTCTACTTCCACACAACAGGGGTCAAAATAAGAAATTTCTCGCTAGTCTTGGGAACCTGTTTGTTAAACAATAGCTGACCAGCATATTGGAAGTGAAGCTTACCAAGTGATTCTGCTTCAAATCAAAGTACGATTGGTGGCAAATCTTGCAAATATAACTGGTGGTTTTAATAATATACAACTCACTAAAAATTGCTTTATGATATTAATTTTCAGGAGTTTTGAAACTTCACCTTTAGCTACGAATTACAGAATCACTTAATCTGCTATTCACAAGATGCTAGTGCTACTTTATATTTAAAATCATATGGGGGCATGGTTGGTTAGAGCATGGTGTTATAACACCAAGGTCAAGGGTTTGGATCCCCACACTGGCCAGCTGCCAAAAAAACAAAAACAAAATCATACGGTATCTCAAAAACCTCAAAGCCATTAGATGCTGATCAATCATATACATTTTATAAAGATTATAAACATTCTTTCTATTTCCATCAAGCACTAAGAACAGAAGAAAGCAGATATAATATGTATTTTGAGTAATTTTATGTAAATACAGAAAATAACTAGGAAGGGACAAGAAAACTAACCTTGACCAGAAGTTCAGTTACTTCATAATGACCATAAGAACAGGCATTGTGTAATGGCACCAGATCACTACAATGAGAGGGTGAAAAAGCCTGTGTTATTACAAATTCCCTAGGCCTAGGGAAACATATAAATTAAAATGTATTTAATTTGAATTAATTTAAATTTACATTTAGATTTAAATAGCAAATGGCTTATGTGACCTTCTAATAAAAATGTACAAAATTTGGTAACATCCATTTGAACCCTAAGTCCTAACAATTCTAACTGCCAAGTCTCTTTGAAATACATCTTCCTTTTTTCCCTACTGGTAACTGCCATTGCCTTAGTTATTATTATTTCTCCCCTGCTCTACTGAAATAGCCTCCACTCGAATTTATCCTCCAAGCTGTAGCCAGATTTTTCTAAAAGGTACTCCTTGTTTTAACATCCTTAGTGGTCTTCCTTGCTTACAAGAGACAGTTCCAACTTATTAAACACGGCACACAAAATGATCTGATTCCCTCTCTAACCCTACCCTTCAATAATGGTATGCTAAACTTGCAGTTTCCTGTGCATCTATACATATACTACTTCCTGGGTGTAAAATAGATTTCCCTCCCTGCTTTAGTCTGGCTCACTTCTACACATCTTTTCCAGACTCAGCTCAAACATGGGCTCTTCTCTGAAACTTTTTTTGAGCTCCTGAAAGATAAATTGGTATATTCCTTAATAAAATGAAACCCAATTCCTTCATGATATCAATGAAGAACTTTTTCTATGGGAAGGTACAGTGGAAACTTAAAACCCTGACTATACTGTCTTTAAGCTTCTCCTTGGTGATCACCAATTAATTGCCACAGCTACCATCATGATGCCTCTGGTAAGTGATGGCCACCTGTGATTTAGTCTTTAGTTCTATGTGTCCTCTCTTTATCGGCTCAAGGCTTTCCTTACCATTTTTGAATATACAATTCTTTACTTGCCTAAGCACCAATTTTATTCCCAACTATCTACTAGATACTTTCACTTGAATTCCCATCATCATCTCATAAAACCAAAGGTTCTAAAAGCAAACTCAATGTTTTCCCCCAGAACAATTTTCTCTCCTGTACTTCAGTATGTGTATCATTGGGTCTAACTCATTCAGCTTCAGAATTTGAAATGTAGTAGTTTTCTTTTTGTTCCTCTCTCTCATCATGTCCAGATATTCAACAAATCTTATCCATTCTTACACTGTCATATTTCTTGCACCTATGGTTTCATTTCCATTTCCTTTGCCACCATTATTATAAATCATTATGCCTGAACCCTTCCACTGCTCACTTTTCTAACTGCTATTTTTGCCTTTAGTCTCTCCCTTCTCTAATCTACCCTACAGATTGCTCCCCTTATTTCAGATCACAGACTACATTCTGAATTCCTTAGGCTAGAATGCCAAGTCTTCTAAAATCTGGTTCTTAGGATTTTTCCAATCCTAATCTTCATTTGTCTCCCATGTAAATCATCTGTTTCAGCCAAGCTGGCTTAATCACTGTTTCTTAAATGTGTAGTAATACCTCCTTTAGCACCTCCACTTCTACCAATTCTCTTGAGAGTGATGTTCTCCAAACTCTTTGCTTTCTTGCCTTTAGGGTTCAAGTGCAACTCCTTCTGAAGGACTTCCCAACCATTCCAGCCATCACTGATACTTCCCTCCTGGGAACTCTGGTAGTACTATGCTTCTATCACCTGGCACTTGGCAGACACCTCTTTGTATTGGTAGGCATCTTTTCATGCTCCCTGAAGTATAGTGTAAACTCTATGAGTGGTGAGTTTAGGGTTTTATAATTCCCTTTGCCCTCAGAGCAACCTGCATATTATAAAAGCTCAATAAATGTTAATACTATTTAGCAAAAAATATGATTTTTATAAGGTTACAAAGATTGTTAGGACAGTAACAAATAAGTCCTCATTTTTGTTCAAACGCTTACCCTTTATCTTTAGCATGAACATCAGCTCCATGTTGCAATAACAGCTGTACAATCTTTACTCTGTTGTATCCTGCTGCCAAATGCAATGGAGTTGACTGAAATATTAATCAAATAAATTAATGTAATTCAAATAATGGCTGAATAAAATATGTGACAAAGTAAACATCTAAACATAAAACCAGAAAATCCAATTATAATTTCATGGTCTAAATAGTTATCAATTTGGTTTTACAAAAGCCAACATATGTACTAAAGGCACAGTATAAAAGTTTATAAGTTCACTACTGCATATAGAAAGCAAACAACAAAATGTTTATTATCAATAAAGTTATGTTAAATTTAGGAATTAATCTGAATTACTGCTTAAAAGAAAACATCAGCACTCTCTTAAAATATATTTTAATTTATAAGATAAATGCATTTTCATGTTACCAGATGAGCACAGACTTAGTTTCAAAAGAAGTACCTTTCTGCCATCACTTGCATGGCAGTTGACATTTAACGGTGTAAGGAGAGCCATCATTTTTTCCTCGTTGCCACTCCTGGAACACAAAAAAATGTTTTAGCAATGTGTAATCTTTATCAATCCTACTTGGAGATATATATGGTGACCTTTGAAAAAAATTATTCTCTTCTAAAGTTTGCTATTGTAAAATAACAACAACAACAAAAACCTTAATGGTAAAATATTCATGGTACATAGCTATAATGTTAGTACACACCTGGCACTTTCCAAGAGTTCATCCTTCTTATATTCACCTGTGAATTGGCAGGGAGCAGAAATTTTAAAAAATTAGTAAGTTTTATGCAAAAGGGCCACTGAAATATATTCATAGTAGATCAATTTGTAAACAGATTTCCAATAAGTGGAAAATGATTAATCAATAGAATATTGTGCAGCTTAAAAATATTTATATGAAGAACATGAAATACCTTTGTTATAAAAGTAAAAAAATGATTCAATGTTATATAATGAAGTATGACCACAACTAAATAAAAACAATACTTGTTAATGTTGTTTAGTAAAAGATATGATTTTTTTAAAACAATATATAGCTGTGGTCATACTTCATTATATAACACTGAATCATGCACAGAAAAAGAAAAGCCCAGAAGCAACTACAGTATACTAAAATATTAATAGTTTGTCTTGAATGGTAGATTATTGGTGAGATTTTCCTTTTCTTTTTTCCCCTCAAGTTTCCTAAGATGACTTATGTTATTCTTGTAACAAACAAAATGTATCCATGACTTTATTCAAAATCAAACCCAAACAAACAAAACCCAACATACTAACATTACAGAAATGACAAAAGAATCTACAGCAACACTAATTGAACACAGTCACTAATGTCTTTATGAATCCAAAAGATTTTTCAACACTAAGATCATATTTATTTATGCTACCTTAAATATATAGATATCAAAAAAGAATTAACTATAACCTCTATGCTTACAGCTTTTGTATTTACAAATGAACACAAACTATAAAATCAATAAAATTAAAATTAACATAACGATTTGGTGAAACAATATCGAAACTGTTGCCCACATTGTGAACTGTGTACTGATTGCTAGGGTAAGGCTTCTTTTGAGCCTCAAGGTTTTTTAAAAAGATAAAAGCATGGAATAACAGGAAATAGTGAAGGAGGAAATAAACACTGAATAGATAGTCACAACAATAGCTCACATTTCTAGAAGTCTTTGAAGGATTAGTCTAAATTTTCTCGGCTTTAAAAAGATAAAAGCATGGAATAACAGGAAATAGTGAAGGAGGAAATAAACACTGAATAGTCACAACAATAGCTCACATTTCTAGAAGTCTTTGAAGGATTAGTCTAAATTTTCTCGGCACTGTGAGAAGAAACATCATAAAGTCCAAGCACAAAAGCTCACAGCAGAACCCCTCAGGCTCTTGCCTTATAGTTTAGAAATGATTCTACTGGTCATCACAAGGTAGATATGAATCTTGTAATAATATGTCAGAGCTGCTTAAGAGGAATGTACACTGACAAGGAAGAAAATATGTGAAGTAGATGCAACGCAAAAAAGCCTGCCAATCTACCTTATAGTTTAGAAATGATTCTACTGGTCATCACAAGGTAGATATGAATCTTGTAATAATATGGCAGAGCTGCTTAAGAGGAATGTACACTGACAAGGAAGAAAACATGTGAAGTAGATGCAACGCAAAAAAGCCTGCCAATCTACACTATTGCCTTGTACATCTTAATAGGCTCCAAGGACATGAACATGTGATAGCAGAGTACAATAATTAGCACTCTTCACAGTATTGAAATGATCTGCCCAGAATAATCCTCTGTTTTGAAGAGCAAGAGAATGGTTAATGCTTTTTAAAATAAATTTGAGGCAACAATGACAAATTTAAACATCAATTTGAAAAGAAAAGGAAAAAAAACTTTATCTTACTTAGACAAGAATCAAATGTCAACTGACTAGATGTAGAATAGCAACCGAACTGATACTATTTAAAAAATCTAGTGAGGTCATTAACTGTAGGAGTAGACCATCTACCTAGCAGGCTTGTTCTTTATATTCTTCCTAGAATAACCAAAGAGTGTACACAGACTTACCAGTCAGCACTGCTTTGGCAGATGGGTCTGCTAAATCCAATGCTGTCCTTCCATCTGTATTTCGGATGGTTGGCTCAGCTCCATGCTGTAAGAGCACTGCAAAACAACAATNTTTAAAAAGATAAAAGCATGGAATAACAGGAAATAGTGAAGGAGGAAATAAACACTGAATAGATAGTCACAACAATAGCTCACATTTCTAGAAGTCTTTGAAGGATTAGTCTAAATTTTCTCGGAACTGTGAGAAGAAACATCATAAAGTCCAAGCACAAAAGCTCACAGCAGAACCCCTCAGGCTCTTGCCTTATAGTTTAGAAATGATTCTACTGGTCATCACAAGGTAGATATGAATCTTGTAATAATATGGCAGAGCTGCTTAAGAGGAATGTACACTGACAAGGAAGAAAACATGTGAAGTAGATGCAACGCAAAAAAGCCTGCCAATCTACACTATTGCCTTGTACATCTTAATAGGCTCCAAGGACATGAACATGTGATAGCAGAGTACAATAATTAGCACTCTTCACAGTATTGAAATGATCTGCCCAGAATAATCCTCTGTTTTGAAGAGCAAGAGAATGGTTAATGCTTTTTAAAATAAATTTGAGGCAACAATGACAAATTTAAACATCAATTTGAAAAGAAAAGGAAAAAAAACTTTATCTTACTTAGACAAGAATCAAATGTCAACTGAGTAGATGTAGAATAGCAACCGAACTGATACTATTTAAAAAATCTAGTGAGGTCATTAACTGTAGGAGTAGACCATCTACCTAGCAGGCTTGTTCTTTATATTCTTCCTAGAATAACCAAAGAGTGTACACAGACTTACCAGTCAGCACTGCTTTGGCAGATGGGTCTGCTAAATCCAATGCTGTCCTTCCATCTGTATTTCGGATGGTTGGCTCAGCTCCATGCTGTAAGAGCACTGCAAAACAACAATATTACCTTTCAAAATGGTAATCATGACAACTTGATTTTAGTAAAGCATTTTCCCAAAAATTCTGGCCCCGAAGTCTCAAAGTTTAGTTTAAAAACCTTTCATATCCTCATAGTATGGTAAATGTTATATTTTAAATATAAGCATATATAAAATATTCCATTATTTAATGCATTAAAGACACATTAGAAAGACTACTGTACCATGACAGAAATGAAATATCTAAAGGTAAAACATAGCTCAGAAATAGGTATCTATAGGATTAAAAAAATCACACAGCTAAATTCTTTAAAAATATAAAACAAAACTGGATAGCTTCTTTATGCTTTCAATAAATTCTGTAAGACCAACAGTTATCATCTCCCTATTCTTCAAGAAACCTGAATAAAATTAATCAATAGAAGGAGGCTGCTCAGATTTGTCCATTAATGACACCATAATACATTGCACTTTAACAGCAAGGTACACTAGTCTAAGGAATGGAGTAGGTGTACGCTGAAACGAAGGTGTAAATTATTCCCTACAAGGACAATTTTTCTTTGTTAAATCTTAACCAAGGGATATATGGATATGGTTGTCAGTTGAGTACTTAGTTTTTTAAGGTTAATTACATTAAGTTTTGAGTTAAAGTCCAAATATTCTCTGCAGGGTTAACAAACCCCAAATCAAAGCTGCTACATTATAATCTAAGGCACAGAAAAAGAGAAGCTTTGTGTTATGCTCTGTATTTTATTGTTATTTAAATAACAATATAAAGATATTCCAGCACACTCTATAAATAAGGAGCTGGGGGAGTCAGGCAAATACAAGCAGAGAGGAAACTCAGCTCCTACTTTTTGATAGGTTTCAATTCCACTCTGCTCTACTACTCTCTATAACAGTGCTGTTCAACAGAAATAAAATGTAAAGCATAAATGTGAGCCACATATGTGATTAAACATTTTCTAGTAGCTACATTAAAAAATAAAAAGTTTAAATTAATTTAAACACACTTTAACACAATATATACAATATTTATATTTATATTATAATCAATATAAAATTATTAATGAGATATTTTACTTTTTTTTTTGTAGTAAGTCTTTGAAATCTGGTATGTATTTTCCCCTTACAGCACATTTCAATTTGGACTAGCCACATCACAAGTCCTCAGCTACCACATTAGATAGTGCAGATCTATAACGATATTTAGAAAACTCAACATTATTGGGCCGGCCCAGTGGAGCACTGGAGAATGCGCCGCTTGGGAGCATGGTGGTGCTCCCGCCGAGGGTTCGGATCCCATGTGGAGACCAGTTCCCGCTCAGTGGCTGAGCGCGGTGCGGGCGCCAACAACCGAGGGTTGCGATCCCGTTGCCGGTCCCCGGTACGGGTGCGACACCGAGGGTTGCGATCCCGTTACCAGTCAGTAAAAAAGACAAAAAGGAAAAAAAAAAAGAAAACTCAACATTATTAAAACTAATTATTTATATGTCTGAGAACTCTGAGGTACCAGGGATGTGTTATGTGGTAAAGAGCAGATTTGCAAATAGGGCAGTAACAATTTAAGATAATGAATAGAAAACGAGAATTGGGCAGAGGTAACTAGGTAATCCATTTTGCATCTTTATAAATGAACTAATTTAAACTAAGCTGGTGAATTTGGAATCAATAGTGTTTGGGATTTTAGGGGGAGAGAAGACCAATTTAAGTCCAGCATAGAGCCCCTGGACTTTTCCTAGTGCACAAAACTGGCTTTCTATGTTAAGGATTTCACCTGTCCTTGTTTTGCATTAGGAAATAACGGAGCTGAGGTGGCAATGAATCTAAAATCCATGATTCTGTTAGGCTCAGAAAAGTACATATCAGGTTAATGAAAACTCTCAAACAGCGTCTCATATATTAATTTTCTGTCACTGATGAACCTGTCAAGCAAATCCTGTCACGCTTGTTGGTTCAAGTACTCTATACGACTGATCATTTTTCCTCCAATTGCTTCCTGACTTATCCTGTCGTTTCTGTTCTCCTATAACCACCCTGGGTCATCATCTCATCATTTCTCACCTAGAATATTTGTTATTCAACAGCTTCCTAACTAGTCTCCTTGATGCCATCCATCCTACCCTGCCCCCTGCCAGATTACTCTTTCTAAAATATACTACATACTCTCATCATGCTGTTCCCTTCTGTAAAAATCTTCAATATTCCACACTGCCTAAATAGTAATATCAAAATATCAAGCTCCTTACCTTGGAATTAAAAGCTCTTTACAAAGAAGCCCCTACCTTTTAAACTTTTCTCCATCTATTTTCTGGAAAGACCCAGGAAGTAGGGCCTTGACTCAGGCCAAGTACTGTGCTTGCTATCCTCTAATATTCTCTGCTCACTTCCACCATGCCTTTATCTGGTTCTTTGTGTATTTATCTCCTAAGAGAATGAAAGTTCCTAGAGAACAGGAACTTTGTATTCTATTCTCCAGAAAAATTTAGGTTCAGTACCACACCTAAAAACATACACAGGGCTGTCTGATGATAGTGGGTTATCAAAACTTATTAATATTAGTGTCACTGAAGTTGGTATACAATCCCCATTGCTAAAAGTGACTGGCTTTAAAACACACAAACACACACACTCAGTAAATAGTGGTTAGATTAAATCATGACGTGTTCTTAAAATTTAAATTTAGCCTGGCAGAATCTGATGATATTAACAAGTGAATTCAATTTAGATTCACAATACCTACAATTTCAAGAAAATTCTGAAAAGTAAACAGTCTTACCAATACAAACATCAATCTTTCCTTTAATTGCAGCTTCATGGAGAGGAGTATAATTCCAATTATCTCGGGCATTTGGGTCTGCACCATGTCGCAGAAGGAGATTGACTACTTCAGCATGACCAAAAGAGCATGCATTATGAAGAGGGATCAGACCCCCATCATCACGTGCTTGGACATTTGCTCCATTCTGAAGCAAATATTCAACTACATCTTTCCGCCCAAAACCTAGAAGAAAATAAATTGTCCACATTTAAGTTCACCAAGGAAAATACATCAAATTAGAATAAGTACAAGCCATGCTAAAATGTTTCGGGATGGAAAATAGTAACAGATTCAACAATTCAAGAATTAATTGATGAAAAGGTGATCTGAAATATATCACTAACTAACCTCAATGATAAAGACAAAGGGTCTCTCCACTCATTAATAGTAGTGCCTTGGGTGGTACTACTACTAACTTCAGAGAAAGATTAGGAAATAAGTGACTGAAAGCTCAAAATTTAAATGCTTCCCACTCTACAATAGCCTTTCTAGCAAATACAGACCTCTGCATATTTAGTGTGTGTACTTTTCCAGAGGGTCAAAGTATGTAACAAATATGTAACACACTACTTTATGAAGTAGTAACAAAACTAACTCTTGCTAGAATCCCTTTACCACATCTATCTCATAAAATGCTTCTGTTAAACTGGAGGTCTATAAGTTAGCAACAATAAAAGATCTGCTTAGGCTTGTATTTGTCTATGCAGTGAGATGGAGAGAGGTGACACTAGGCAACAGTGTGAAACCAGATGTCTTCAAAGGAGCCCGTACTTTGCCACTTTCACAACACAAGCAACTTCTTTCCAAGTAGAAGGCCTCCTTCAGATATCCATATTCTACACTTCTGCTCATTTGCCCTCAAACCAAATAAAACATAAAAGTCTGGTAACTAATTTATACTGGTTTACAGATTTAGTTCCAATGAGTTTCAATCTCTTACCATTCCCATGTACTAGTACTTAAAAGATGAGTACTTTACAGCTCATTGTGAAATGAAAAGGATTTTGGGCATATGTTAAAGCAGATGGAGGGCGTATATGTATATGGGGGAGAGGGAAAGGAACTTCTCACTCCTCTGAAATTTCTCCAGAATATTCTTAAAATCACCAAGCCTGAATGCAGTCCTTCTAAAATGACCAGTGTGGGAGTAGATGAGAAAGCAATAGTACAGTCTTTCTAGGGTGGATGCCTGGGGCTGGCCTGGTTGCAGCTGGTGGAAGAGTTAAGGATAGATGAAGAGATTAATTGGTGTTTTTTTTTCCCCCCTTGAGTGGGGGGAGAGGTCGTTTTGTTTTAATATCGCTAGGCTCTGTGGTCACAAAGATGAGTATCTTTGTATGTTTGTTTCTCCCTCCTCTCAAAGAGCTCACAATTTAAGATGTGGAGAAACAAATAAGAACCAGTAATTTCAATACAATACAACTGGCTGTAAGAGTACATAAAAAGTGCTAATACAGCTCAAAGAGGGAACACCTAAACTAGGGAAAGCAGAGAATGGAAAGGTCTATTCCAGAGGAGATTCCGGTAACACCTGTACTGAAAGTGTACAGAAAAATAAGGGATCATTAGGAGAATGATGAGAGGAGAGTTGGGGAGAAGGAACTAACTGAGCAAGGGAAGGTCACTGCAGACCAAGCAGAAAAAACAAAATGTGCACAGGCATGGTGGTATGAAAAGAGCAAATCCAGGACACAGCATGCCAAAGCAGGCAGATGCCAGATCTGGAAGAACCCTGTATGTTACGCTAAGGTAGACTCTGGGTTTTGTTCCATTGACTAGTGTTTTTCAAACTGTTTTCAGACAGCAGGTTTCAGTAAAATCTTATTTAAGATTCCAACATGTGTTATGCATACTGCTAAATACCCAATGCCTAGTACATAGTTGATACTCAGAGTTGCAAATGAACTGAGTTCAATAAAATAAAAACTATTCTATGGGCCGGCCCGGTGGCGCACTGCTACAGTGCGCTGCTTATGAGTGTGGTGGTGCTCCCGCCGAGGGTTCGGATCCCACATACAGACTGGCCGCTCACTGGCTGAGCGAGGTGCGGGCACAACACCGAGGGTTGCGATCCCGTTGCCGGTCCGGTCCGGTACGGGCGCGACACCGAGGGCTGCGATCCGTTGCCGGTCACGAAAAAAAGACAAAAAGGAAAAAACTAAAAATTAAAAAAAAAATAAATAAATAAAAAAATAAAAACGATTCTAGTTGAATCATCCTTCTTCCCCTCACGAAGACCCTAAAGAAAATATCCCTGTATCCCTGAGTCGCCTCTTAGAAACAGTTTGAAAAATACTGCTACAGCACATCAGTAGTCACTGAAGTATTTGTTTAAGGCAGTAACTCTATTATATTTGTTTTAGAAAAATCACCTTGGCAATTGTGTGAATAAATGGATCAAATGCAGAGAGATATGAGGTAGGTAGAGCCTTAAGATTTTTAGATGGCTACTGCCATAGTTCATGTGACAGAGGATGAGGGGCCAAGAAAGACTTGGTGGGCAGGATAGGTTATATTCACATGGTTCATGTGAACAGGATAGGTAATGTTCACACAGCTGGTAAAAAGGGTGTACTGTGAAGCCTTCCTCCCACCCCCATTCTCAGTCACTCAGTTTCCTTCCTTCTGATGATCAGTTTCCTTGCATATATATACTTCTGAAGTTATTTTATATTCATATAAACAACTAATATTTTTTTGAAGATACTGTTTGTATCTTCCTTTTAAAAAAATCTAATAATATCTTAGAAAGCAACTCCTATTAGTACATATTTTCTTGATTATAAGAATCAAAATATAAGTAGTTCCACTCTCATGGAGAGTTAGGCTGTTTCCAATCTTTTACTACTGCACATAAAGTTGCCAGGAATAACTAATGAGAGAAGAGAAAATTTATGGGATTTATAGGTGCCAGTGACTACTTTGGTGAAAGGAGAGGAGAGCTGAGGATGACTATCAGATCTCTGACATAAAAATTAAACAGGAGGTTTTGTGGCATAGAAGTTGTTTTTTGAAATGCTTAGTATGAGGTGCCTACAGAACAAATGCCCACTAAGTAGTAGGTTCTGTGGATCTTGACCTCAAGAAACTGGTCTGAGCTGGAGACAGACATTTTGGAGTTGTGACTGTAAAGATGGTATTTGAAGACATGCATGAATATGAATGGAGTTGACTACAGAGTACTAGAGAGTTTTCTGCCTCTTTTATTGAGATTAGTGTACTTTCAAAGATCAATCCCTTATCTTGTACTGTAGTCCATTCTCACCTTCTCAAGGTCTTTGCCCACTCTTAAATCAATATCTCCCCCTCTCTACTAGATCACTCCTAATACTATGTAAACGTGTTCTAATATCTTCCATTTTATAATAAATATTGTTCCTGAACTCACATTCCCATTTCTCTGCTCCCCTGCATAACCAAATCTGTAAGGGTTCTCTCTCGTTCACTTTTCTCCCAGATTTGATCTGGCTTCTGCTTCTTCCTTACAATTGCTTTCAACAATGTCATTTACAATCTCCACATTGCCAAATCCAAAGGGCACATGTCTGTCTTCATTTGACTAGAACTCTCAGCATCATTCAACTCTCTCCTTCCTGAGACACTCTTTCCGAAGTTTCCATGACACCACGCTCTTGTTTTCATCCTGCCTCATTTATTCATTTAACGAATGATCAGGAAATTTCAGCTATGTGCCAGATATTTTTGGGGGGTGCCTGAGACATAACCTACAAACAAACAGACCAAATCTCTGCCTTGAGGAACTTCTACAGGGATAGACGAGATAAGCAATTAATATAAAAAATAAGTATGTTAGAAAGTGAATAGAAAAAGAAGAGCAGAATAGGGAGTGATTAGGGTGTGTGGGGGGGAGGGGACTGTTAAGTTGAATAGGTGGTCACTATAGGCCTCTGTGACACGGTGTTGAAGGAGATGAAGGAGTTAGCCTTACTGGCTAACAGCAGTGGCCGGGGCAGTATGATAGAGGGGTAGTATAGGAAGAGATTACATTGGAAGTAAGAAGGGCCAGATAAATCTCTGTGACACGGTGTTGAAGGAGATGAAGGAGTTAGCCTTACTGGCTAACAGCAGTGGCCGGAGCAGTATGATAGAGGGGTAGTATAGGAAGAGATTACATTGGAAGTAAGAAGGGCCAGATAAACCGGCTTGAGGACCACTGTAAAAACTTTTGTTTTTTGTTTTTTTTTTTTCACTCCGAGGAAAATGAAGAGTCACTACAGGGTTTTGAGCTGATTAAGTGACATGTTATGAAAAGTACTCTTGGGTTGCTGTGTTGGTACTAGACTGTAGGAGGATATGGGTAGAAGAGAGATTATGGTGGCTTGGACCATAATCATGTGGTACTTGTCAGAATAATGTTAAGTGGCAAATTCTGGATACTCTGAAGGTATAGCCAGCATAGTTTCCTCATGGACTGGACATGGGTGAGGGCCATGGTGAGAGAGTGAGAGAAAGCAAGACCAAGTGAGACTGAGGGAGGAGTCACAGATGATGACCCCCAAGGTTTTTTGGCCTGAGTAATGGAGGAATGGAGTTGTCATCAACTGAAATGGGGGAAGGCTGCAGATGAAAAAGATTCATGGCAGAAGATAAGGAGTTAAAGTCTTAGACATGTCATATCTCGCTGGGGGCTTCCGACTTCCTGTACTCAATTTCTGAATGCTGGCATTCCTGGAGACTCAGTTATCTACCCTTTTTAGATGATCTTATCTAATCCTATAACTCTAAATACCACCTAAATACACAACCCTTAATTTTAAATCTCCAGTCTAGACTTTTCACCTGAATTCCAGAATGTTTACTTGACATACCTGCTCCTGGATATTTCAAAGCATCTCAAACTTAATACGTTCTCAATTTCTCTGCAGCCCCCCCTGCAAAAACAGCCCTCACTTTAATTTCTAACTTCATTTTATACCACTCTTCCCTTTCCCAACTATGATCCAGCTTTCTTTCAGTTCACCAGGTAAGCCAGGGACTCGGTACCTGCTGTCCTTCTGCATGGAGGGTTGCATGGAAAGCTTTTCCTCTGCATACAGCATCCCTCACTTTAACTCACTGTCTAGTCTATTTAAATGCACCACCTTCAGAAGGCCATTGCTGACCATCCCATCCCACAGCAGTCCATCTGCCCACTCACACTATTTCTTATCTTAACACTATTT